AAGGGGCCCGATACATGATAAGGGGCCCGATACATGATGAGGGGCCCGATACATGATGAGGGGCCCGATACATGATGAGGGGCCCGATACATGATGAGGGGCCCGATACATGATAAGGGGCCCGATACATGATAAAGGGCCCAGTACATGATGAGGGGCCCAATACATGATAACAGACCAATACATGATAAGGGGCCCGATACATGATGTATATGAGATATAAATGGTAGGGATGGTGTCGCTGTATTTGGGGGTATCCCCGGGATGGGGGGGTCAGTATATAAATGGTAGGGATGGGTGGCGCTGTATTTGGGGGTATCCCCGGGATGGGGGGGTCAGTATATAAATGGTAGGGATGGGTGGCGCTGTATTTGGGGGTATCCCCGGGATGGGGGGGTCAGTATATAAATGGTAGGGATGGGTGGCGCTGTATTTGGGGGTATCCCCGGGATGGGGGGGTCAGTATATAAATGGTAGGGATGGGTGGCGCTGTATTTGGGGGTATCCCCGGGATGGGGGGGTCAGTATATAAATGGTAGGGATGGGTGGCGCTGTATTTGGGGGTATCCCCGGGATGGGGGGGTCAGTATATAAATGGTAGGGATGGGTGGCGCTGTATTTGGGGGTATCCCCGGGATGGGGGGGTCAGTATATAAATGGTAGGGATGGGTGGCGCTGTATTTGGGGGTATCCCCGGGATGGGGGGGTCAGTATATAAATGGTAGGGATGGGTGGCGCTGTATTTGGGGGTATCCCCGGGATGGGGGGGTCAGTATATAAATGGTAGGGATGGGTGGCGCTGTATTTGGGGGTATCCCCGGGATGGGGGGGTCAGTATATAAATGGTAGGGATGGGTGGCGCTGTATTTGGGGGTATCCCCGGGATGGGGGGGTCAGTATATAAATGGTAGGGATGGGTGGCGCTGTATTTGGGGGTATCCCCGGGATGGGGGGGTCAGTATATAAATGGTAGGGATGGGTGGCGCTGTATTTGGGGGTATCCCCGGGATGGGGGGGTCAGTATATAAATGGTAGGGATGGGTGGCGCTGTATTTGGGGGTATCCCCGGGATGGGGGGGTCAGTATATAAATGGTAGGGATGGGTGGCGCTGTATTTGGGGGTATCCCCGGGATGGGGGGGTCAGTATATAAATGGTAGGGATGGGTGGCGCTGTATTTGGGGGTATCCCCGGGATGGGGGGGTCAGTATATAAATGGTAGGGATGGGTGGCGCTGTATTTGGGGGTATCCCCGGGATGGGGGGGTCAGTATATAAATGGTAGGGATGGGTGGCGCTGTATTTGGGGGTATCCCCGGGATGGGGGGGTCAGTATATAAATGGTAGGGATGGGTGGCGCTGTATTTGGGGGTATCCCCGGGATGGGGGGGTCAGTATATAAATGGTAGGGATGGGTGGCGCTGTATTTGGGGGTATCCCCGGGATGGGGGGGTCAGTATATAAATGGTAGGGATGGGTGGCGCTGTATTTGGGGGTATCCCCGGGATGGGGGGGTCAGTATATAAATGGTAGGGATGGGTGGCGCTGTATTTGGGGGTATCCCCGGGATGGGGGGGTCAGTATATGAGATATAAATGGTAGGGAGCAATCTTCCATACACAGCGCACAATCCCAGCACTGGTCTGGTCTCAGGAGATCCTGCCGGGAAAATCCAACCCGGCCGAGCTGAGGAAGTCCACACAGGTACTACCCAGAAAGCAGGCCCATCATCTCCTCATCCAACCACGACTACCTTAGTAGTGTCACCGGCCCGCGTTGTCAGACTTCGGGGTCACATTTCTCTTCCGTCTTCTCCCATAAAACGTTTTATCTTTGTTTCCAGGAGAAGAGACAGAGGAGCAGCAGACATCAGACACGGGGGACAAGCACGACCTTCCAGGACCCCAGCGTGTCCCATCTGCCACTAGTTATGGGGAGAGCCGTTCCTCACATGCTGAAGCCAAAGCTGAGGATGCTGACGAGGATTCTGAGAAGAAGGCTGGAGCAGGTGAGCAGAGAGGGAGGGGCCTCAGGGGACTGGGAGGGAGGGGCCTCAGGGGACTGGGAGGGAGGGGCCTCAGGTGAGCAGGGGACAGAAAGGGAGGGACCTCAGGTAAGCAAGGGACAGGGAGGAAATTGGCCTCAGGTGATCAGGGGACAGGAAGGGAGGGACCTCAGGTGATCAAGGGACAGGAAGGGAGGGGCCTCAGGTGATCAAGGGACAGGAAGGGAGGGGCCTCCGGTGATCAAGGGACAGGAAGGGAGGGGCCTCCGGTGATCAAGGGACAGGAAGGGAGGGGCCTCCGGTGAACCAGGGACAGGAAGGAAGTGGCCTCAGGTGAACCAGGGACAGGAAGGAAGTGGCCTCAGGTGAACCTGGGACAGGAAGGGAGGGGCCTCAGGTGAACCAGGGATAGGAAGAGAGGGGCCTCAGGTGAACCAGGTACAGGAAGGAAGTGGTCTCAGGGTAACAGGGGACAGGAAGGAAGTGGCCTCAGGGTAACAGGGGACAGGAAGGAAGGGGCCTCAGGTGAACCATGGACAGGAAGGAAGTGGCCTCAGGGTAGCAGGGGACAGGAAGGGAGGGGCCTCAGGTGATCAAGGGACAGGAAGGAAGTGGCCACAGGGGACAGGAAGGAAGTGGCCTCAGGGGACAGGAAGGAAGTGGCCTCAGGGTAACAGGGGACAGGAAGGGAGGGGTCTCAGGGTAACAGGGGACAGGAAGGAAGTGGCCTCAGGGTAACAGAGGACAGGAAGGAAGTGGCCTCAGGGTAACAGGGGACAGGAAGGAAGTGGCCTCAGGGTAACAGGGGACAGGAAGGAAGTGGCCTCAGGTGAACAAGGGACAGGAAGGGAGGGGCCTCAGGGGACAGGAAGGGAGGGCCCTCAGGTGAACCAGGGACAGGAAGGAAGGGGTCTCAGGGTAACAGGGGACAGGAAGGAAGGGGCCTCAGGGTAACAGGGGACAGGAAGGAAGTGGCCTCAGGATAACAGGTGACAGGAAGGAAGTGGCCTCAGGGTAACAGGGGACAGGAAGGAAGGGGCCTCAGGGTAACAGGGGACAGGAAGGAAGTGGCCTCAGGGTAACAGGGGACAGGAAGGAAGTGGCCTCAGGGTAACAGGGGACAGGAAGGAAGTGGCCTCAGGGTAACAGGGGACAGGAAGGAAGTGGCCTCAGGGTAACAGGGGACAGGAAGGAAGGGGCCTCAGGGGAACAGGGGACAGGAAGGACGTGGCCTCAGGTGAACAAGGGACAGGAAGGGAGGGGCCTCAGGGGACAGGAAGGGAGGGCCCTCAGGTGAACCAGGGACAGGAAGGAAGGGGTCTCAGGGTAACAGGGGACAGGAAGGAAGGGGCCTCAGGGTAACAGGGGACAGGAAGGAAGTGGCCTCAGGATAACAGGTGACAGGAAGGAAGTGGCCTCAGGGTAACAGGGGACAGGAAGGAAGGGGCCTCAGGGTAACAGGGGACAGGAAGGAAGTGGCCTCAGGGTAACAGGGGACAGGAAGGAAGTGGCCTCAGGGTAACAGGGGACAGGAAGGAAGGGGCCTCAGGGTAACAGGGGACAGGAAGGAAGTGGCCTCAGGGTAACAGGGGACAGGAAGGAAGTGGCCTCAGGGTAACAGGGGACAGGAAGGAAGGGGCCTCAGGGTAACAGGGGACAGGAAGGAAGTGGCCTCAGGGTAACAGGGGACAGGAAGGAAGGGGCCTCAGGGTAACAGGGGACAGGAAGGAAGGGGCCTCAGGGTAACAGGGGACAGGAAGGAAGGGGCCTCAGGGTAACAGGGGACAGGAAGGAAGGGGCCTCAGGGTAACAGGGGACAGGAAGGAAGGGGCCTCAGGGTAACAGGGGACAGGAAGGAAGGGGCCTCAGGGTAACGGGACAGGAAGGGAGGGGTCTCAGGGTAACAGGGGACAGGAAGGGAGGGGCCTCAGGGTAACAGGGGACAGGAAGGGAGGGGCCTCAGGGTAACAGGGGACAGGAGCAGAGAACGCTTTTGGAGTGACGGTTGGCAGTGTTGAACATTGTATGATGCTTTGTTCCGTCACATGATCTCTGCACCACAGAAGGAGTGACTGGACGCGCACGGACTCCATTTTGTATATCTTTGATAAATCTTTATTTGTCTGACTCGCTGGATCATCCACACACAAAGAAGACGGCCATTTCTGTTCTGTTTCAGGTGACAACGTTTCCGGCACCAGGACAGCTGTGGGAGAGTTGGAGCTCGATCCCGTGTCTCAGGCTGTGGCCCGCTATATGGGGATAGATACCAGCAGTGAGGGACAGGCAGCAAGAACCCGCCGAGGCATGGCCATCATTGTACACGGAGCCCCACTTACCGGTGAGTATCGGGTCACTCCTCGCGCAGGGTGATGGAGGTGCCGCGAGGAGGAGAACGCTGGTACCGGTCCAATACCAAGGCTCATCCCTATCACCCCGCTGCCGCCATGGATAGTCCCATTACAGAACTGAATGATGTAATGGGGGAGCGGCCTCAGGACAACCACATCCGGGACATCATCCATCGGGGGGAAGCTGGGCCGTCTGTAGAATTAAAGGGGAACTCCGCAGTATCCTCAAATCACACACATTGTAAAGAAAGAAGCTCTTCCTACGACTTCCATCATTGTACATGCTTGCCGTTCCATATTCAGGGGCGTAACTAGAAATCACATGGCAAAATTTTGTATGGGGCCCCTTTGACCTCTAGTTACGCCCCCTTGCAGAGCCCACTTGAGATCCAACCTG